AGCAAGGTAACCCAGTCACAAAAAGAGAAACGTGGCATGTACTCTTTCATATATGGATTTTAGACATAGATTTGGGGAGTGCCAGCCTTCAATCCCATGGCCAGAGACTGGGAAACATTCCCTTCATTCAGTGGCTGATGGAAGAAGAGGCAGAATAACAAGGCTAAGCACTGAGATGAACTCAAGAAAGCCAGTAACAGAGAGGGAGGACTGATGACCAAAGGGATTAAGACTGGGCTGGTTTAACCCCCAGAAACAGCTGACCTGACAAGGGTTAACTCTTAAATCCCAGTCTGATGCCTGGGAATCCAGTATGGGACTGATTGAGAACCCTTGACTGGGGGTTTCAGTGAGGAGGCCTAGGTAATCTATTGAGCCTTTGGCAGTAGATCAGTATTCATCCCGAGTATACACATGGACTTTGGACTCCCATCCAACAATGTGAAATTTACTCTCACCCTGAATTCTTGGGGGAGGGTCTAGACCCTGCTCCGAATGAAATGACAGACTATGGACACCCCCATGGAGGGACTCACCCTCCCTAGGGAAAGGAGAGGGTATGGGGGGTTGGTGGAAGGGCATGGGAGGAAGGGATGGAAAGGGCGAAGGACCTGGGATTAACATGTGAAACAACCTTGTTTCTAATTTAAATTTAAATTTAAAAATTAAAATTAAAAAAGAGAGATAAAGGTCATATTTCAATCTAAAATGGCATTGATTTTATAAATTTTAAATAACCCATTTTAAATGAATCAATAGTAATTTCTGAAAATTGTATAAAATAAATTATCTCACATGATTTTTTTCAATAGATGCAACTAGCAGGGTCTTGTTATTTTCTTCAGCCATTGAATGTATCTAAACACTACTATAAGCAAATGAAAAAAATTAAATGTGTGTTTTTATTTTTAAAAAAGTCTCTCCTAGAAGTGGCTGCATAAACAATGGCCATATCAATGGAAATGTTAGGGTGAAAGGGTAAATTTCATGAGGTCCCACCCACTAAAAAGACCTACAAGCAGCAAGTTATTACTAGGAGGAGACTAAGCCTGTCCCATGAATAACCCCATTATTGGCTTTCTAATGACAGCTGGTCAGCCCTGAAACCATACATACACACAATTAAAACAGACTCAACATGTTACATTTATATATTTTAATAATGCATAGAGACTCATACTCACACATAAGAATAATAATCAAAGATGAAAGGCTGTTAAACTGAGAGTGGGAGAGTATAGAAGGGGTTTAAGGAAGGATTACTGAGAGGTGCTGGAGGGGGAATGGGAGAGGGAAAGTAATATAATTCTATTTCAATTAGAAGCATGTAATATTTTAAAAGAATCATTTAGATGAGTAAATAAATACATAATTATATAAACCATCATCTAGGTTTGTTCACTCTACAACTCTAAAGGCATGCAAAAAAAAACTATCTGCCACATTAAAAGTCTCACTAACTTAAAAAAAAACATGATTTTATTTTATTAGTTTTCTGAGCACAGATATCTCAGGAAGAAGTTGGCAACAACGGTTTTCCTGAGTTTTCTTGGTGACTCATGAGGTGACATGGTGACCCTTCCTGTTTCATGACTGCATGTCTGCTTGCTAATCCCCAGGCATATTGCGTTGTGATGTATGCTCATGAATTTATCGTCATTTAATCATTTCATTATGGCCACATCTTAAAATGCTATCTGGTTCTGCAGTACTGGAGGTTAAAGCTTTTACACGCAAGTCTGAAAACAACACATATTGGTGTTTTATATCCTGTAGAAAAAAATCCACTGAATACTTAAAACAGAATTTTAAAAGACATTCTTAAATGGCAAAAAGTTGAATCTGTCTATAAAATGTGACACAAAAAAACAGACCTTAAGAGGTAACATCTATAAACCTTACTATCTACAATGAACAAAAGTAGATAATAATAAACTGCATGTATTGAACTGAGAAAAGTGCATACACTAGATGAGTTGAATGAACTCTGTATAATAAGGGAATCCAGCTGATTGGCCTTTCAAAATGAAAAACTAAAGACAGAAATATAACTTTACTATTCAGAGATAATAAGAGCAATGACAATGATAAGTACAGCAAGCGTGGCATCTGGTGAATGAGAATAAAAGATAAACTCACTTTTCTTGCACTTGTTGTCAGTTACAATAAAAGAACACCTACAAGTCTATTATGATTAGGCGAAGAAAACAGGAAAGAACAAAAAAGAAAGTCGGGCCATGGGGATTCTTTAGAGACACTATAATGTACTTTAGTTATAAATCTCACAAGCAGCTCAATTTACCTAACATTGTTACTGCCTGGGCTCATAATTGGCAATAAATGCTTCAGAGTGGCACTCACTTACAAAGATGGGGGATACCACATAAGGTGGGATGGGAGAAGCTCACAAAATGAGTGGAAACTGGGAAGTCATCCAGAATATCTCAGTGAAGGATTGTGTCTCACATTGATTTGGTCCCTTGTTAACCCCCAGCCCAGCATCTATGTAAGTCTCACTTGGTCACTAGCTCTTAATAAAGCTCCTTTGAGCATTTCCTAGTGGGAATAAAGGATACTCTGGAATCCTCACAAGCCCAGAAGAATCTCTGTATTCAGGGCAGCCCAGAAGAACGGAAGAAAGGTGAGGATTTGTGTCAAGATAATGTTTGCTTCCAGGGATTGTTAAGAATTTTGTTCGTTAAGGATATGTTCATGTCCTTCTGTTTCTACACTGAGAAACTGCATGCAGGGACCATGGAACTTTCTTCAGGGAAAGGAAGAAGGCTTGAGGCTTCCCTATGAAATCAGAATGGGGGATCTCCATAAGATTACCAAGACCAAAGGCATTTCTTTTATTCTAGTAATTCAAATATGGCTGCTGTGGGTAGAATGATGCATCTTACACTCATTTCAAGGTGAAAGTTGATGTGGTGGCACACTCCCTTAACCTTAGTATGTGAGAGAATGAAGGAGTATTGCATTCACTTAAAGTCAGGCTGGGCTACACAGTAAAATTGCAGCCCCGCCTGGAGCACATGAAGAGATCTGTCTCAAAAATAAATACTTAAAAGAGAATGAGTCAAGATGACATTCAGACCTTGCTTCCCAGGCTATGCTATAAATTTCATAGATTTTATTGTTTTATTTGCTTTCCAAGATAGTTTTAGAGAGACAGGAATTAGAGTATATCATCCACTCTACAACATACTCTTTTTATTTAAGTTACCTTGTTTTACATGCCAATTCCAGTTCCCTCTACCTCCCCTCCTCCCCTGTCACCCACCAACCCCCATCCCATCCCCTTTCTGCTCCCCAGGGTGAGGCATGAAGCTTTTCATGGGGGATCTTCAAAATCTGTCATATCATTTGGAGTAGGGCCTAGACCCTCCCAGATGTGTCTAGGCTAAAAGAGTATCCCTTTTTGTGGAGTGGGTTCCCAAAGTCCATTCATATAATAGGGTTAAATACTGATCAGCTACCAGAAGCCCCATAGAGTGACCCAGACCTCCAAACTGACATTTACGTGCAGGAGGTCTGGATCAGTCATATGCTGGTTTCCCAGTTATCAGTCTGGTGTCCATGAGCTCCTGCTTGTTCAGGTCAGCTGTCTCTGTGGGTTTCTCCAACCTAGTCTTGACCCCTTTGCACATCACTCCTCCCTCTCTGCAACCGGATTCTAGGAGTTCAACTCAGTGTTTAGCTGTGGGTGTCTGCTTCTGCTTCATCTACAGGATGAAGGCTCTAGGATGGCATAAAATGTAGTCATCAATCTCAGTATCAACACAACATACTCTTAATACTTCTATATTGTTATTTTCATATCCCCTTATAATATTACCTGGGCCTTACTCTAAGTTACTATTTCCTTTTTGTATAGATGAACAAGTATAGCTCCAGCCCAAATCCTAAACTCATACAGTGAAACAAAATGTTTCTAGATGCTAACCAAAGCTATCTTGAATTCTCATAACAAAAATGTTCAACTATTTGAGCATAGACATCATTCCAAAATATACAGACCTACCAACAAAAGTAATTACAATGAATCAGACTTCTCTTTATAATTAAATTATATGTGTGTTCATGTATTCATTTATTTTAATTTATTTTAATTTTACACTCTATTATCTAGACCAAATTACCTACTACTAGAAGAAATCTGATTTATTCTTTCACTCATTGAGTAAATGTCAATGCCGCATTGTAGACCAATGAACTGCCTTAGTGTGTGAAAGTACTTGCTGCCAAACCTTAGTGACCTAAATTCAATCCCAAGGAAGCAAGATTTGAGGAGAGAAGCAAATCCCGCAACTCTGGATTCCACAAGGACTCATTCATGTGCACATGCACACACATGATTTTTAAATGTGATTTTTAAATTTATATCCTTTCAAAAAATAAAAGAATACACTGTGGTATGCAAAATATACAAAATCTAAGCCTTGAAAAATATAGAAAGAACCCTTGTCTTTAAGCACTTCTTCCCTGGGTCCTATCTAGATCACCAGACCCAGTCATCCTAACAAATGTTCTTGAAAAGGTCCACAATTCCCTTGTGACCCTAAAACATGCTATTCATTCTCCATGAATGTTGGAACCATCTCAGCCATGGGGGTATCATGATCACCTCTTTGTTTTTCTCAATACTTTCACATAAGAAAAAATTATGGTCCATAGAGCAGTAGTGTTTGGTCCATGTAGTACCCTTTATTGAGAAGTTGTCTCATAGAATATATGTATGTGACATAGAATAACATGGATTATTTCCATGTGATTTAGAGGTTCTGAGTTATAATAAGAAGAACAATTCAGACTATTGAGTCAACAAACTGTGGGTTTGAATCCACAGTCTAGAATGCTCCAACTCTTTATAAGTGATTTAATTCATGCAGTCATATACTCTCCTTTCATTTATAGATGAATTTATTTAGAAATGCTAACAACAATATCTACATAACATATCATCTTGTGGAAAAGGGACCGCATTAAGATGCTCAAATATGGTTTATATTCTCAGGGACACTGCTGGAAGATTTGTAAACATGGATCCAACCATCTTATCCCACAACACGGAATCTATGCCAACAAATGAAACTGTCCAGCCTGGGAATCAAGATTGTAGTCCAATACTGCCCCTGAACTTCCTGGCCATCATTATTGCCCTGGTTGGACTGGTAGGAAACACCATCATACTCTGGCTCCTGGGATTCCGCATATGCAAAAAAGTCATCTCCATTTACATTTTCAACCTGGCTCTTGCAGACTCCTTCTTCCTCTGCTGCCACTTTATTGACTCACTCCTATGGGTCATTGCTTTCTATGGCTTCTATGCCCACAAAGTAAGTAAATCAATCTTAGGCAATGCAGCAATCATTCCCTATATAGCAGGCCTGAGCATACTCAGTGCTATTAGCACAGAGTGCTGCCTGTCTGTGTTGTGGCCCATATGGTATCACTGCCACCACCCAGAAAACATGTCAACTGTCATATGTGCCCTAATCTGGGCCCTGTCCTTTCTGATGGGCATCCTTGAGTGGTACTTCTCAGGATTCCTGAGTGAGGATCATCAACATTTGTGGAAAAATGTAAATTTTATTGTAACTGTATTTCTGATCTTTCTATTCATGCTTCTCTTTGGGTCCAGTGTGGCCCTACTGGTCAGGATCCTCTGTGGTTCCATACAGAACCCACTGACCAGGCTGTATGTTACCATCTCACTCACAGTGATCATCTTCCTCAGCTGTGGCTTACCTCTTGGGTTCTACCTGTTCCTGTTATACTGGCTTGAAGTTCATTTGCATCATCCCTTGCATCATCTTAACCGAATTACCTCTGTCCTGTCCTGTGTGAACAGCTGTGTCAACCCCATCATTTACTTCTTTGTAGGCTTCTTTGTAGGCTCTTTTAGGCAAAATAGACATCATCGGTCCCTCAAAATGGTTCTTCAGAGGGCTTTGGAAGACTCACCCGAGGAGGATGAATATACAACCAGCAATCTTCAGAAAACCATTGAGATGTCAGAAAGTAGAGAATGGTGAATAGTCCCTAGTCAGACATGTGTTGAGACTCAACACCACACAGACTTAACTCTTCCCTCAGAAATGCCCCAGTAACTGAAATGCTTTCAAATGATTTTTAAAATCCAATTTTCTTATAGCTCTTAAAGTAGTCAGAAATAAGAATTTCTCTAACTTTCTTGGCACTGTTAATGAGTTTCTCAAGTATCCTCTGTATATTTCTCACTGAACACGTTCTTTGCTTGCAATTTTGTAAATGGGAAAGTTCTTATTCAAACTGTAAATCTGAAACTGAGAACATAAAAGTATGCAATTTTTTCCTCTGGGCCATTTCCCAGAGAATTTTATTCTCTGTGATTCTCCAAGCCCTGGAGAAGCAAGCTTGGTCCTGAAAGCATCCAAATCTAAGGACCAATGACATCTCCATTCGGGACATTGGACATCAACATCCCTCAAGTCATGCTCTGTCTGTGTAAAAACTATGCAGGAAGTCAGACTTCTTAGAAGAAAATACGTTTTTCTTGTGTTTTGGGCTAATATCAAGGCTTTGATCCTTGAGAATGGTAAACAGAAATTTACTTCTCAATCATATTAGAAAAATATGATAAATCCATTGAATGCTGGAGAAACAAAAAAAGTAGAATGTGAAAGCTATGTTGGAAAGATGGAGCAGTGGTCTGCAGTCTGTTTTAGAATAAGATATTAAGATTTGACTTAGCCATTGACATGAACTGAAGGCATCATAAACTAAATAGAACCAAATTGTTCTATTTGTGCATTGTGAATTTAATCACCTTGAGCACATTCTCCTCTCACCACTCATTGGCTGTCTGACTAATGTAATGCTCTTTCTCCTTTTTAAAACACTTTTTATTTTATATTTAAATTAGAAACAAGCTTGCTTCTCATGACAGTCCCAGCTCCCTCTCCCTCCCCTTCCCTCCAAGCCTGCTTCTCCCCAGCAGTTTCCCCAGCTCCCCCACCCAACCCCACTCTGTTCCCTGGGGAAGGTAAGGCCCTCCGTGGGGGATCTCTAGAGTCTGTCATTTTGTTCGGGGGAGGGCATAGTCAGAAATAATACTAGTGTCTCCAAAGTGTCCAGATTTAGAGAGCATCCCTCATTGTGGGATGGGCACCCAAAGTGCATTTGTGTGCCAGGGACATACACTGATCTACTACCCAAAGCCCCACAGATTACCTGAGTCTCCTCACTGACACCAACATTCAGGGGGTCTGGATCAGTCAATGCTGTCCCCTCAGCCATCAGTTTTGGGTCCAAGATCTCTCTGTAATGCTCTTTCTTTAAGATGCTATGGTTTATACTAAGCACGGTCAATACGGCAATACTGATTATTAAAATGATGAAATTTTGATACTGTTCTTTAGGAGCATAATAAAGACTGAAGAAAAAAGTGTGTGTGTGTGTATGTGTGTGTGTGTGTGTATTGATGATGACCAGAAAATTAGCTTCTGAACTGACTTCACAATTTACCTTGCTCACTTCTGTGAGCCATATTATTTTTAGTATATTTTAAATTGAAGTTCAATTATCATAGAAGCATTAAGTAACTTAGAGACATATGAAGGTGGAGAGAAAACAATTCATAGTGATATTATTAACAAAGCCAAGCACCTTAGAGAATGATATTCAGTATGTGAGTACCATCACTAATTCCATTTCAAGTGTTTTGTTGTCATGCAGAGTACCTCTTAAGATGAATTCTAAGACAGGAGCACAGAGATCAGTGTCTATCATGACCTTGAAGTATTAAAAAATGACTGGCATAAATTTTGCAAAACTGATTGTCGATAACTCTAAGCTCTGCAATCCCAGAGAGGTCACCCAGCAGATAACTGAATAGTAAAATTCTGTTTCAAACCTCTTCCCAATGACAAACTGAATGACAATGTTCCAAACAACAGGTAGATGGAACAAGAGGGAGAAGGTGGGAAATACTGGAATGACATCTTTTCATGGGCTTGGGCTTCTGAGAAGAAACTCATTCTATAGAAGTCAGATGGCATATTCCACAGAAGTCTGTTAAGCCAATTTGCTCTATAGTGTAGTTTAATGCTGAGCTTCCTTTATGACCTTTTTATCTGGATGATCTACCTATTTGTTGGTGAGAATGGGTTACTGAAATCCTATTATTACATCTGGCCCGGTCTCACCCCTTCATGTTTGTTTCATGAAAGTAAGTGCACCAATTCTCAGTATACGTGTTTACAACTATTATGGCTTCTTGGTGAGCTTTCCTCTTGTTACTATATAGTATCATTCCTTACCACTTCTGGTTAAGTTTGACTTGAAGTCTACTTTGTCATATGTGGGTAGAGATACACCATCTTGCATTTAGAACCAAATTTTAGTTTATAATAGTGGCAGAGTACACAATAAAATAGACAAAATGATCAAAACAGAAAGAAAAGAAAGTGAGTCAATATGTCTTTATTCAAAAATAAGGATCTAGAACTAGACTCCTTCACAGCTACTTTTAGGACCTTGAACAGCTCCCAGAGAACAAGCTCCTTTCTCTCAGGGTAACAGCCAGACACCTCAGTTGCTTTCACTGCGATAAACATATGTGCTTAGGGACCTGAGCTTGCATTCTGGCTGAGCCTGTTTCATCAAATGGAACTGATGAATCATAATTTTTGGTTAGAAAAGAATTTTAAAGGCCATTTTCAAAAATAAAAGGTAACTTTACAAAACCAGGACTTCAGTTTGCTCACAATTATATTCCCTGTCACTTAGTTTCAGAAACATAGCAGATACTCAGGGAATAAGTGCCATTTTAATGAGTGAGTCTAGCCTTACCACTCCAAGTTAGAAAATTTTTAATAAGTACTCAAACCTCATATGCTTCTATATATCTGGCATCTCAGAGCTTATGAAGAACAGATTACCCACTGGACTACTCCAGTCCTATATTTCACATGTATAACTGGAGGAAATCCGTGTGGGATCTACATATACCACAACTGATAAATCAACATTTGAAGGCAGAAAGGAATAGATAATGAGCAAAGTTCAACTCTGAGACAGGTAACAGACTTAGTGGCAACTTCTTCCCAAGTTGTAATTATGTCTTTCTTAACAAAACATACATTTTTGTCCTCTGTGTGATTGAGATAAATGATTTATTACACTATACTGATGTCAGTAAATTTTCTGAAACATTTAAACAGGTTACCAGGGTTTTCAGGTATTCTTCAATGGTTACATGGGGACCAGAAAACATGAAGACTAAGCTATTCTTACAGAATTAATCATTAGATGAGGATTGAGAGATACAATAATCTACTGCTATAAAAACAAGTGCCTAACATCTTAGCCAGCCACTGGGATTTGCCTCAATTAATAGTACTAGCACGAGTTCCATCTTGTGAAATGGTCTTGAAATCAGAAAGTGATTGGTTAGTACCATAAAATTTATGTCACTATTGCACCAAGGGACATATCCTTCCAAGCTAGTCATTATTATAGCTTGCAGGACTCACAGCTGGGTGAGAGTGTTAATGACTTTCTTCCCCCAATATCATAACTAGAACCTTCTAGTGTTATGAAAGCTGAAGGTCCCAAGTTGGTATCAACCTGATTTCCCCATAGTGCAATGTGCTTAGTTCCAAATGGAACATCTCTATCACAGCTCCTTGAGATTCAGGAGTCATCAAAGAACAGGGGACAGAAAATTTTAAGAGACAGAGCTAATGGAAGCCTACAGCACAAGAGTATTTGTTGGACATGACAGGACCATTTTACACATGAACTCACAGTGGCTGTGACTGTATGCTCAAGACTTGTGTAAAATTACGTCAACCAAAATACCATCCAGGGTGGGCTAGGGACTCATAGTGTCAGACTCTTGATATGGATAATTGATGGCTTCAGGGAGAGAAAGAGCCTGTTTTCTTCAGAGACACATCCCCTGAAATGCTACCCATGTTTCAATATATTATCCAACACCCATGCACATATAGGCAGTACTAGGTGGATCCAGTGTTTTTTTTATCATTTTTATTTTAATTTTAAATAGCATGTTTTACATGTCAATCCCAGTTCCCTCTCCCTCCCCTCCCTCCGCACTCCCCTTGCCCCCACCCTCCCACCCTATTGCCAAATCCTTCCACATAGGGAATATCTAGAGTCTGTCATTTTATTCTGGGTAGGGTCCAGGCACTCCCCTGAGAGTCCAGGCTGAGAGAGCATCCCTCTTTGTGCTATAGGCACACGAAGACTGTTTGTATACCAGGGATAGACACTGATCCACAGCTCAGGGCCCCATAGGTTGCCCAGGCCTTCTCGCTGACACTCACATTTGGGGGGTCCAGATCAGTCCCAGGCTGGCCTCCCCACTGACAGTCTGGGGTCAAAGAGCTCTCCCCTGTTCAGATCAGCTGTCTCTGCTGGTTTTGCCAGCTCATTCTTTGCCAATTTGCTCATCACTCCTTTCTTTCTGTCACTGGGTTCCTTGGGTTCAGTTCAGTGATTAATTGTGTGTTTGCCTCTGCTTCCATCAGTCACAGGATGAAGGCTCCCGGATGGTTATAGGCATCAAGTTCATTATCAGGGATGGGCATTCGAGGTGGTCTCTCCACTATTGCTTAGCTTGTCAATTGGTGTTTTCCCCTTAGATCACTCGAGGTCACTCTGGTGCCTGATCTGTATTCGATCCTATGATTCCCTCTTCCCCCTATACTATCCCCACCCCCTCAACTTCCTGTTCCTCCATGACCAACTCTCTTCCTCTTCATCCCCCTTTTTTTTAAGAACACATGAATTTAGAGGGAAAGGTGATGTGGGGATAGGTGAGGAATTGGGAGGGAATGAGGGAGGTAGATTTAATCACAAACATTATTCACAGGTATAGAGTTCTCAATAATATACATACACACATATATAATAAATGTAATATATACATATGTATTAACCAGTCATCAGAGATATGTAAGTCTTGTCACTAGACATTTCTTATATTTTTGTTTGTGAGCCTAGCCTTTAACGGCTGAGCCATCTCTCCAGTCCCACTAGACATTTCTTAAACAAAGTAACTGTTCTCAGAGGAAAGTTCCCAAATGTGGCAAATAATTGGTACATGCCATCTAGTGAGAAGAGTGAATAGAAATCCCTCTTTAGCCTATACAAAACTGCTTAACGTCAAACCAGTCAACATTTCAGTGTGGATGAGGGAGGAGTACATGACTTTCACCCTTATTTGCAAAACTATTGACTATTGTTAGATGCTTGGAGAGTTGGTTTTCTTTAGGAGTGTAAATTTTGGTAAGCTGACAATGCCCCCCTGGATAATCCCAAACTCATGCACATAAGGAAAGTGCTAAGTAGACTCAATGAATTATTTTTACAGGAGAATACTAAGTTAGGCATGGGATAAGAGTGACCCAGGAGTAGTTGAATGCAAATATGATCAAAATATATTGTGTAAACAGTATGAAATTCCCGAAGAATAAAAAAGTTAATTTTTAAAAAAATAAATCCCTCTTTAAGTCACATATTAGGCAGCCAAAGGAGACCTACAGAAGAATATCAGGGTTTCAAAATTACAAGGTGTAGAGAGAGTGGTTAAGATGTTATCAGAAAACTATCAGGCTTCTCAGATTAAAGTGGAGTTTGCTTGCTCAATTTTGTATGTCAGACTTTGTTGACTCTACAAGGGGTCTTACTTCCTTTGAGGAGTGGATAGGAGGTGGGAAGGAGAAGCAGGTGTGGGGTTAGAGGGGTAGGAGAAGGGGAAGGAGGGAAAACTAGGGTTGTTATTTAAATGAAAAAAATTTAAAAGTGGAGTTTGTGTACCTAGGTTGCTTTCTGAAAAACTTTGTTGTAGTTTTTAATAAAAGTATTCAAAGGAAAAAATTCCAGGGTCTCAGGAGCTTCGTGATCTAGAAAAAAGCCAAACAAAAGCCACTGGTCTGTTTCCGTGTTTCTTCCACAAGAGTAAATGACTTGATATTGGAGGGGACTGTGACTTAAATCTGACTGATTATTTCACGGACTTTAATAATTTGGCTGGTGAGCATTGTTTTAAAAAAGATATTCTTTGAAATAAAGACAACCTAAATTCTACTGTGCCTAAGACACGTTGGTTTCCCAGTTCCCCTGGCTCCAATAACTTAACCACATCATCCGCTTGATTCAGCGTGTCTCACTGGTCGCAAACCCTTGCTGCCTGCTTGCCTTCTTGCCACATTCAGATTCAATGACATGATGCTAAAGTCACTACCTGAATCCATTCTCCATAAGTTCAGAAGCAACGTCAAACACAACCCGGGTTTGCTGACTCCAGATCCAAGTCTCTTCCCAGCTCAGCCCATTATGGATTCTCCATCCTGGGTATAATCATACCTCGGTTTGCAAATGACATAGATGAATTTGTGAGGGACTCCTGTAGCTGTAGAAATACAACTCGAAGTGCCTGAAGTGACATCATCAACTTAGCCCAGGGGTTAATATGCAAGCCAATCCTGCTTTGGCAGGTTTTTCCCTTCATGACACCTATAGAAAAATATTTTTTCTTTTGCTTAATTTTTATGCACAGAAAAATGTCAAAGAAAGGGGTAGTTATGAGCTGTTCTGGCAAAATCAGGAACAACAGTCCCTGCTTCTGGGCCTGTGTTCCAGTGCCTGGGGATCGCCTGGGAACTGCACAGAGCTTCCAATCCTTGCAGGATCCAAACACCCCAGACTCCAGGACTTCTCTCCCACCAACGTGACCAGGAAACCAGAGGAGCCAGGGAGACCAGGAATGCAGCTGTTCCAGTGATATCAGGTACAACAGGATCCAGCAAAGGGTCCAGGTGACCAGGTGGGAGGCTAAGCTCCCCAAATTCCTGTTCCTCTTCTCCATCCACGGGACCAGAACGAAGACAAGGAATAGAAGAACTGCCAGATTATTTGACTAGCTAGCACCCACCCAAAGGGAACTCTGGTCTCCTAACCACCAGACCAGAAAGTGGCTCTTTCTGGACCAACTAGAAAAAGAGATGGGAAAGAGACAATACAGAAACACCCTCAGCAACAGAAAAACAATAAGACACCACCAGATTCTAGAGACTCCACACCAGCAGGACACCAACATCCAATGGAAACGAAGCAGAAGAGAATGACCTTAAAACCACTTTCATGAAAATGATAGAGGCCCTAAAAGAGGATATAGGAAAATCCCTCAAAGGAATGGAAGAAAAAAAACAAAAATTGCAAGAAATGAATGAAAAAAACAAAGGAAAAATGAAAAAAAAATTGGAAGAAAACAACCAACCAAAAAAAAGACATGAAATGGAAGAAGAAACAAAGCAAAAAATGAAGGAAATGGAAGAAAAAGCAAACCAAAAATACAAGAAATGGAAGAAAGAAAAAACCAAAAAATTCATAAATGGCAACAAATGGACGAAAAGATAAAGCAAAAATTTCAAGACACAATGCAAACACTGCAAGAGATGAAAATTGAAACAGAGACAATAAAAAACACAATCTGAAGAAAGGCAGGGAATAGAAAAGCTGGTCAAATGGTCAGGTACTACCGATACAAGCATTACCAACAGAATAGAAGAGATGGAAAAGAGAATCTCAAGTGCTGAAGATATACTCGGAGGAATGGATTCATCAACCAAAGAAAACCTTAAGTCCAACAAATCCTTAACACCAAACATCCAGGAAATATGGGTAACCATGAAAAGACCAAACCTAAGAATAATAGGTATAGAAGAAGGAGAAGAAAACCAACTCAAAGGGGCAGAAGACATATTCAACAAAATCATAGAAGAGAACTTTCCCAACCTTAAGAATGAAATGCCAATGAAGGTACAAGAAGCTTATAGATCACCAAATGGAGTGGACCACAAAAAGTCCCCTCACCACAAAGTAAGCAAGACCCCAACAATACAGAATCAAGAAAGAATATTAAAAGCAGCTAAGGAAAAAGTCTAAGTAACATATAAAGGCAGACCTATCAGAATTACACCTGACTTCTCCATGGATACTCTGAAAGCCTGAAGGTCCTGGATAGATAGTCTACCAACACAAAGTGACCATGGATGCCCGCCCAGACTACTATATCCGGTAAAGCTCTCAATCACTATAGATGGAGAAAACAAGATATTCCATGACAAAACTAGATTCAATCAATATGTATCCTCTAACCCAGCCCTACAGAAAATTTTGGAAGGAAAACTCCAACCCAAGGAAGTTAACTACAACCATAAAAACATAGGCATTAGAGAATCCCTCTCTACGAATAGCCCAAAGAACAAAGGGGTGAAATTCCACACGTAATTCCACCACCAACAACCATTCCAAATCGAAGAAGAATGAGCAATCAATGGCCATTAATATCCCTCAATATTAATGACCTTCACTCACACATACATAAAAAGACACAGGCTAGCAGAATGGATTTAAAGACAGAACCCTTCCTTCTGCTGTATAAAAGTGACACACCTCACCCTCAAAAACAGACATTATCTGAGAGTTAATGGTTGGGAAAAATATTCCAGTAATATGGACCCAAGAAACAGGCAGAGGTAGCCATCCTAATATCTAACAAGCTAGATTTTATAATAAAATCAATCAAGAGAGATGAAAGAGGTCATTAAATACTCATCACAGGTGAAATACACCAAGATGCAGTATCTATTCTAAACATCTATGCCCCAAATACAAAGGCATCCACATTCGTAAAAGAAATTTTACTAAAACTTAAATAACATGAAAAGCCCCACACAGTTATAATGGGAAATTTTAACACACCACTCTCAGCACTAGACAGGAATACCAGATGGAAATTCAAAAATGAATCAAAGGGTCTAATAGAAGTAATGAGCCAACTGGGATTAACAGACATCTATAGAACCTTTCATTCACATATAAAAGAATATACATTTTTCTCACCACCACATGGAACCTTCTCAAAAATCGACCACATACTTGGCAACATATCAAACCTCAGCAGCTACAAAAAATTGGAATAATTACATGCATCTTATCAGACCACCTTGCTTTAAAATTAGAATTCAACAACAACACAAATAGCCAAAAACCTACAAAGGCATGGAAATCGAAAACTGCACAACTGCACCATCCCTGGGTCAGAGAGGAAATAAAAAAAGAAATTAAAGACTTCCTAGAATTCAATGAGAATGAAGACACAATACACCAAAACATATGGGACACATTGAAAGCAGTGCTATGGTGGACGTTCATAGCACTAAGTGCCCACGTGATGAAACTGGAGAATGGTTACACTAGAGAATTAGGAGCACAGCTGAAAGCTCTAGAACACAAAGAAGCAAACTCCCTCAGGATGAGTAGACACCAGGGAATAATCAAATTGAGGGCTGAAATCAATAAAGTAGAACCTAGGAAAACAATAAGAAGAATCAACGCAACGAAGAGTTTGTTCTTTGATAAAATCAACAAGGTAGACAAACCCTTGTCCAAACTTACCAAACAGAAGAGAGTGAACATGCAAATTAACAAAATCAGAAATGAAAACGGGGACATAACAACGGGCTCTGAGGAAATCCAGAGAATCATTAGGTCATACTTTGAAAAACTGTATTCCAAAAAATTTGAAAATTTAAAGGAAATGGTCGACTTCCTGGATAGCTATCACTTCCCAAATTTAAATCAAGAACAGATAAGCAATTTAAATAGATCTATAACCACTATGGAAATAGAAGCAGTCATCAAAAGTCTCCCAACCAAAAAAAGCCCAGGTCCAGATGGCCTCAGTGCAGAATTCTACCAAAAATTGAAAGAACAGCTTATGCCAATTCTTCTCAAAATATTCCACGCAATAGAAGCAAAAGTGTCTTTGCCAAACTCTTTCTATGAGGCTTCAATAACTTTGATCCCCAAGCCACACAAACACACAACTCAGAAAGAGAACTTCAAACAATATCCCTCATCAACATTGATGTAAAAATATTCAATAAAATACTGGCAAATTGGATCCAAGAACACATCAAAAGTAATATTCACCACGGTCAAGTAGGATTCATACCAGTGATGCAGGGATGGTTCAACATATGAAAATCCGTCAATGTAATCCACCATATTAACAATCTGAAAAACAAAAATCACATGGTCATCTCACTAGGTGCTGAAAATATCTTTGACAAAATCCAACACCCCTTCATGATAAAGGTCTTGGAGATATCTGGGGGAACAGGAACATACTTAAACATAATAAAAGCTATATACATTAAACCATCAGTTAACATCAAACTATATGCACAGTAAGTCAATAGAATTCCTCTAAAATTAGGAACAAAACAAGGCAGTCCACTCTCTCCATACCTTTTAAACTTTGTACTTGAAGTTCTAGGCATTGCCATACAACAAAGGGAATCAATGGGATACAAGTTGGGAAGGAAGAATGTCAAAATTTCACTGTTTGCAGAGGATATGATAAGTTACATAAATGACCCAAAGAACTCTACCAGGGAACTCTTACAGGGTTACACCTCCAGCAAAGTGGCAGGCTACAACATCAACTCAAGTATATAGCCCTACTATATACAGATGACAAAAGGTCTGAGAAAGAAATCAGAGAAACATCACCCTTTACAATTGCCACAAGCAACATTAAATACCTTGGGATAATGCTAACCAAACTAGTGAAAGACTTGTATCCCAAGAACTTTGAATCTTTAAAGAAAGAAATGAAAGAAGCCCTCAGAAAATGGAAAGAACTCCCATGGTATTGGATAGGTAGCATCAATGTAATAAAAATGGCAATCCTGCCAAAAGCAATCTATAGATTCAATGCAATCCCCATTAAAATCCCTGTACGTTTCTTCGCAGACCTTGAAAGAACAATAATCAATTTTGTATGGAAAAACAAAAGACCCAGGATAGCCAAAACAACCCTGTTCATCAAGGAAACTTCCTGAGGCATCACCATCCCTGACTTCAAGCTCTATTATAGAGCTGTAGTCCTGAAAACAGCTTGGTATTGGCACAAAATTAGACAGGTAGACAAATGGCATCGAATTGAAAACCCTGATATTAACCCACACATGTATGAATATCTGATCTTTGAGAAAGAAGTTAAAAATATGCAATGGAATAAACAAAGCATCTTCAACAAATTGTGCTGGCATAACTGGAGGCTGGCATGTAGAAGAGTGCGTATTGATCCAGGTTTATCACCTTGCACAAAACTTAAATCCAAATGGATCAAAGACCTCAACATAAATCCAGCCACACTGAACCTCTTAAGAGAGAAAGTGGATCATACCCTTGAACAAATTGTTACAGGAGACAGCGTCCTAAACATAACACCAGTAGCACAGACAGTGAGATGAACAATTAAAAACTGGGACCTTCTGAAACTGAGAAGGTTCTCCAAGGCAAAGGACAAAATCAGCAAGACAAAAAGGCAGCCCACAGAATGGGAAAAATATTCACAAACCCCATATCTGTCAGAGGTTTGATCTCCAAAATTTACAAAGAACTCAAGAAGCAAGTCTCCAAAACACCAAAGGACCCAATTAAAAAGTGGGCTGTAGAACTAAATAGAGAATTTTCAATAGAGGAGTCTAAAATGGCTAAGAGGCACTTGAGAAAGTGCTCAACATCCTTAGCCATCTGGGAAATGCAAATCATAACAACTCTCAGATATTATCTCACTCCTGTCAGAATGGCTAAAATCAAAAACACCAATGACAATATATGCTGGAGAGGATGTGGTAAAAGAGGAACACTCCTCCATTGCTGGTGGGAGTGCCAAATAGTTCAGCCACTTGGAAATCAGTATGGCACTTCCTCAGAAAAACGGTAATATACCTACCACAAGACCCAGCCACTCCACTCTTAGGCATATATCCAAAAGATGCCCATTCATACAACAAGGATGTCTGTTCCACTATGTTCATAGCAGCATTATTTGTAATAGCCAGAACTTGGAGGAAACCTAGATGCCCCTCAACCGAAGAGTGGATAGAGAAAACGTGGTATATTTACACACTGGAGTACTATTAAGCAGAAACAACAATGGAATCCTGAGATTTGCAGGCAAATGGATGACACTATAAGAATCCATCCTGAGTGCGGTAACCCAGTCACAAAAAGAGAAACATGTCATGTACTGTCTCATATATGGATTTTAGACATAGATCTGGGGAATGCCAGCCTACAATCCCATGGCCAGACAGTCTGAGAAACATTCCTTTCATTCAGTGGCTGATGGAAGAAGAGGCACACTCCCATGGCTAAGCACTGAGCTAAACTCAAGAAAGCCAGTAACTGAGAGGGAGGACTGATGGCCAAATGGATTAAGACTGGGCTGGTTTATCCCCCAGAAACAGCTGACCTGACAAAGGTTAATTTTTGAATTCCAGGCATCAGCTTGGTAATGCAAAATGGGACTGATCAAGACCCCCTGAATGTGGGTGTTAGTGAGGAGGCCTAGGTAATTTATTGAGCCCTGGGTTGTAGATCAGTACTAATTCTGAGTATACACACGGACTTTGGACTCCCCTCCAGAATGTAAGATGCAGTCTCACAAGAAACACTTGGGGGAGGATCTAGGCCCTGCCCTGGATGAAATGACAGACTATGGACACCCCTATGGAGGGCCTCACCCTTGGGGGAAATGAGGGGATAATGGGTGGTTGTGGAGAAGGCACTGGAGGAGGGGTGGGAAAGGGAGAGGGACCTGAACTGACTCGTGAAGCCACCTTGTTTCTAATCTAAATTTAACTTAAAAATAAATAATAAAAAAGAAACAAAAGGACTAACAGAAGTTATGATAGAAAAGAAAATATCCTTATACAGCTTTTTAAACTATCACATATTCACAGTCAAGGATGAGAACAAGAAACTTGTCATCAATGAGATGTCCATCTTGCTTCTTACAGGATCAAGATCCTTCCAACATCAAATGGGATGATGCTGGTGCTGAGTATGTTGTGAATTCTACTGGTACCTTTTCCAGTATAGAAAGCTAGGGCCAAAAGGGCTATCATCTCTGCCTCTACCGCAAATGTGCGTGAAACCATGAAAAGTACGATAACTCAGTCAATTCAGCAAAGCTTCCAACAACACCAACTGCTTAG